GAGAGTTCTTAATCATTAGCTGGAACAATGTCCCTCGAGTCCCACATGACAAGCACTGCTCAAGAACTTTGTAAGGCAAACAAAAAATCCGCAGCTTCCTGGGGACAAAAGATTCAGGTGGAGACATACAACAGACCGCCTAAGGCCTGGGAGGAAAAGCCAGGGAGAGATTCTTTGGGAAATAAGAACCATTCAAAAGTGTAAAAGACTTGAGAAGACCCTAAGCTTTTATAGTTGGCTGCTCTCCAAAGTTCAGCGCAAGCAGGAAGTGAGGACTGAGGGAGAGTTGCAAAGGGCTAGGTGTTAAAAGGAGTGCCCTAGGACAAGCCACTCCACAAAGAGTAGGAAAGGTGGGGGGTTTGTTTTGTTTTGTTTAGCTCCTGGATTTCAAGGAAATCTCTGTCAAACACTAACTGAATATAAGCTAAGCCTTCAACAATTAAGAAAAGCAAACCGAGGGGGACAGGAAGAATCTGGCTTCCAGAGTTAACACATTATAATATTTGAATGTCAAATTTTCAACAACAACAAAAAATCACAGAGCATACAAAGAAGCGGTAAAGTATGATCCATTCAAAGGAAAAAAGAAAGAATTGACAAAACTGTCCATGAGGAAGCTCAGATATTGAACTTACTAGACAAAAACTTTTAAAAAACTGTTTTAAATATACTCAAAGAATAAAAGAAAACCAAGGACAAGGACTAAAGGAAACTAACTACAGCTGTTGAGAGAAGGTCATTGTCATTAATATTGCCAGAAAGAGGCACTGTTGTGTTATCAGATTCCAGATTTTCACATTCTTTCCTCAATTCCTTTATCCCTCTTATATATTATAGTGATTTATTTAAAAATAAATTTAAAAGTCCAAATCATATCTTAGTTTTTAGGTAATTCCATATATATTTAATACCCAAGTATTTCTTTACTGTCAAAATATAATTTATCTCTATCATGACTTTTGCCATCATTGTGTACGTAAGTTTTAAAAAATTAAAATTTAAGATTTTACTCATTTAAATATTAATTCATTTAATAATAAATTAAAAGTAAGCATGAGTTTCGTTCAATGCTATCGTGAGCTGCAAGGAAGATTCTTTTTTTTTTTTTTTCCTTCGGTACGCGGGCCTCTCGCTGTTATGGCCTCAGCCGCTCCGCGGCACGTGGGATCTTCCCGGACCGGGGCACGAACCCGTGTCCCCTGCATCGGCAGGTGGACTCTCAACCACTGCGCCACCAGGGAAGCCCCAGGAAGATTCTTTCAAGGTGGTTGTGAGCTGATTTTTCTTTCTCCTTTTCAATCAAAACAGAACTTTATTAAAGCAGTGTTAGGAAAGACCATCTTTAAAAGAAATATTGAACTGAACAGAGCATTCACCAAATGAATGTGGTACAGGTGATACAAAACAGCTGCCCTCACGGAGATTATAACCTAGTAGCAAAAATAGACACAGGTATCACATTCTGCAATATAATTCATGAATGAGGGGAAACCAGTGTTCCAAGACTCTGAGAGGAGAGATACTGGGGCTCAACTGATACTGAGCAGGACTTGTGGGGCTCCTGGCCACAAAAGCCTTTCTGTGTCCCCCATTTCTTAATTACAGGAAATAGGCTTCATTCAGCCTCCTTGATCTCCCCTGAGTTGCAACAGGCAGGTTCAAACAGATGCTAATTAGGGAAGGGAGGAGATGCAGAGACAAGGGAGGAGCAGTCAAGAGGAACAACAGTGCAGCCTTGGGGCAAGGTCCTGGTCCCCCCTCAGGGGATATACATAACAGTATCTTTGAGCTGTTGTGCAGATATGCAAGCCCCACCAGGTGGGAGAAGTTAACAGTATGCTACCCACAAGCACATTAGACCGTTTGGAACCAGAAGGATGATGATGCTGCCTCCCACTTACCTCACCACCAACCAATCAGAAGAATGTCCACGAGCTGACCACGCCCTCTTTGAACCATTACTATAAAACTCCTCACTACCCCCTCCAGGTGGGGACACAAGAGTTTTGAGGGCATTAGCCCACTGTGGCCCCCTTTGCCTGGCAAAGCAATAAGGCTATTCTTTTCTACTTCACCCCAAACTCTGTCTCTGAGATTTAATTCAGTGTCAGAGTACAGAGGCTGGATTCGGCTCCACAACCACAAGTATGACTGATGGTGCCTTGGAGCAATTATAGGGTCCGGAACAGCTGAAACTCAAGTTTAGTAGCTCCCCCAGTTGCTGAAACCTGCCATTTCTAGGAAGGGAAGATTCTTGGCACTGCTCCCACTTATGAAAAGTGGGACCACATTCAAAGAGAAGGTTCCTATTCCTTGTCTTCTTGGGTCTTTTCTATCTCCACCCAAGGACAAAAAGGGAGAGGGTGCCTCTAGGATTGCCTCACGTGGGTCAGAGCTGCACCTCCACGTGTCCTGCCCTGGCTGCCCCCTGTTCCAGGGGTCTCCTAGAGTACACCCCGGGGGGAATCTTAAGAGATTTTGAGAAGGATACCTGTCTAGTTGATAAACATCTATTTTCCTCAGGCTCGACCTGAATTTATACCATTAGTGAAAAAGTTTTATTCGGGGATCTTACTGAGGACTATATCCTGGGAGATGGCCTCTCAGATGCTCCGAGAAACTACTCTGAAGAGGTAGGTGAGGAGCCAGGGTATATAGGAGTTTGGGGGCTGGAAAAACAAAACAAAACAAACATGTGGTCGAACATCAAAAGATTACTGTGAATCACAAAGAACAGACATCTCAAGTTAATGATTTTAGTGCTTTTCTATGTATGGGAAGATGCAAGAGTCTAGACTCATTGAAATTATTCCTTAGATATGCATCTTAACTATCAAGAGCCAGTGTCCACTGCACAGGATGTTTGCTATCTCTCTCCATCCTGAATTCCCCTCAGGGGGCACTGCTACAGTGGCTCATGGCTTGATCCTCGTAGACCTGGGATGGTGAGCAACATTCCCTGTCCACACGTTTCTCCTTTAGTTGACTCTCTCTGTTCTTCTTTAAAATACAAATATTCCTCAGAGGGAGGTAAAACATTAAGTGGATTCACACTAAGGAAACTCCCTAGGTTTATCATATATGCTTTTCTGTTACCAGCAGCTTAAGAGCTTCACATTTCTGGTTGCTGCAAAAGAGTAGAATATAGGTCGGGGACACAAAACTTCTCCTACTTTTCAGCTGTGCTTGAAGCTGACTCATCTGGGGACATCAGTGTGCTGTTCTTAATAACAAGAGTGTACTTTCTGGGTGTTTCTTAGCTTAGAGCTGTGCCTAAAGTTAAAACTGCCCTTATAGACTCAAGAGGCCTGGCAGTCCTGCAGCCTTTTTCCTGTCTTCTGACCACACAAGAGACCCAAAGGAAAAGGGATCCAGAAGATCCCTGCAGAAACCTGAGAATAGTTTCTGTGCCTCAGTGGTTTTATTAGCTGTTCTTAGTTCCCTGTTCCTTACTGTAAATAATTTGCTATTTTTATAAGAGAGCTAAGACCAGGCCCTTGTGAGCCAGGAAGGACTGAGAGATGAAAACTATGTATTTTACCCATGACCCAAGGACTTCTGGCAAGCTGCCTTACCTGAGCTGGGATCTGCCTTTTTCTCCTGGACACAGAAATGCCTGTCTTTACAAAAGGGCCTACTTCTTTTTTTAAGACTTTGGTTTTTTTTAGAGCAGTTTTAGTTTCGGTTTTTTTTAGAGCAGTTTTAGTTTCACAGCAAAACTGAAAGAAAGGTACAGAGTCCACATATACTCTCTGACCCCCACTGGCACAGGCTCCCACCAAAATGGTGTAACAGGGAAGAGCCAAATCTGACTCCATGTTGGATCTGTTTCTTCTACTTTAACCTTTGCTTCCCATTGCTTTGGTTCACTAAAATGATACTGTCTATACACAATGGCCTGCCTCAGGGAACCCTGCCCCTCTGCCTGAATGTTAAACCAAAGTGCTTTCATTCAGGGAGGCATCCTGACCCTGTCCACCTGTGGATGGCTGCAAGAAAGAAGAAATTAACACATCCCCTCCCTGAGGCTGGCCATTCCAGGGGATATTTGCAAAACTTATGGCCTTTTTACTTTACTTCCTCATTTCCTCCCCTTCTCTATGCTATAAAAGAAACTGCATCCAGACCCCCCGACAAGATGGTTACTTTGAGACATTAGTCTGCCATCTTCTCTGTCTGCTGGCTTTCTGAATGAAGTTGTACTCCTCACCTCAACACCTCGTCTCCGATTTATTGGCCTGCTGTGCAGCCAGCGGAGCGAGCTTGGACCCGGTAACAACTGGACATTTGTTACAATCAATGAACCTACATTGACACATCATAATCACCCAGAGTCCAGGGTTTACATCAGAGTTCACTCTTGGTGGTGTACATTCTATGGGTTTGGATAAATGTATATGACATGTACCTACCATTACAGTGTCCTACAAGATTATTTTCACTGCCCTAATTATCTCCTTAGCTCCCAGAAAGACCTACTTTGAATCGTGGAAATAAAGTCTCCTGGGATTAGTTCCTAACCATTTTCAGCCTTCCAACCCCATGTGGCTGTGGTCATGACCTTCTGGTCATAGCTTATCAGGGTACCAGAGGTGCCACGGGGCCCAGCATGCAGCCCCCAGGGCACACTAGAGAGGCTGCTTCCATTGGGACCAGGATCCAGTATTTCACTTATTCTAGGTTCTTCCTGTCCAAGGCCCAAGTCAACCTCCCAACCAGTGGGATGTATAATTCAGTGCTTCCCAGTCTTAGCAGAATCCCCCGTGGACAGTCAGAATCTTGACTGAAAGAAAAGAGCTCCATGCCCACGGGTCCCAGTCACCACTGCTGCTGATCTCTTGCAGTGGGCTGTGTGAGCTGCCCTATTATCTGTGCTTGGCTGGGAGGAGCAAAGCAAGCAAGCACTTGAGAAATGTTGACCCCTAGGAAGTCCCAGACTCAAATCCTCCTTATCCCCTGGGAGGGGCAAACTGAGTAAAAGAGACAAACCAATTTAACTAAAGACCAACCAAACAAACAAAAACCATACTTAGATATTCTTGCTCTTCTCATCAGGAGGGCTGGATTAAGACATGAGTTCAAAACAAAAACAATTTAAATCAGGAAATAAGTGTAAGGAGTCGGAAATTTTCACACGAAGACTGCCACAATAATTTTTTGAGAATCCCTAGTTCTCTCCCCCGCACCGCCCCCCCACATTGCCATCTAATCAACAGTTCTTCTCCCCTTCCTCTCCCCCTCCCTCTTCGTGGCCAGAACCCTCTTACTGTTGTCTGAAACATGTATCTAGCCCACTCCCTACATCTGCCATAAAGCATCCTTAAGAACAAAGCAAGTGGGAGAAACATATCCTGTGAAACTCACCACTTTGGGCTTCTGTCTCCTCTTTTCCCTTGAGAGCTAGAACAGCCATCAGCAGCTGCTGCTGGGAACCCAAAGGATTAGGCTGACGAATGAGGGGCTGCTGGCTGCTGGCAGGGCCTGGTGGAGGAAAGAACCATTAGAACCTTTCCCCATGGTCCCTGCTCCCTGCTCCTGGTCAGCCAGCGTCCTGAGGTCTGAGCCACAGATCACACTCTTGTGAGCTGTGCTCAGACCCCTCATCTCAGACTCTTTCCCTCTCCCTGAGTGCTTGTCTCTCTCTTACACAAACATGCAGTTTCAAGTAAGGAACCCTATCCAGGAAGGTGGCTCAGACAAAGGAAAGAAGTGTCTGGAGATCTAAGTTCGAATTAACTTTGCCCCGGGGGCTAAAGTGCAGAGCCCCTCAGATGCATGAAATTTGCTCAGAACTAATTAGACAAAGCAGATACTAGCAACATTCCTCCCCTTCTCCTGTGTTTTACAGTGAAGACATCCCAGAGAAAAAGTCAGGGGCACATAATGAGAGTAAATACGGTAATCTGGTCACTTGCAAGTTCAAGTACTGGACTTGGGACTTAGTAGTGCCAGATGGGGGGCACTTACAGCCTCCCTCTGACCTGGACTGAAATGTGGGTGACAGACAAGATTGGATCAGATCCTGGGAAATAATAACCTATGACTACAGCACAGGGAAGAGGAAGCACTGCCCTGACCAGAGAGGCAGCCTCTCACCCAAGTGAAGTGTTTGTTCACTCCTGTGAAAAGCAAAAGATTAAGCTAATGCTCCAGTCTTTAACAAGGCAACTACTTCAGGGATATTGATGTTTTGATTGATCCTTTATCCCTGATTGTTCAAAGTGGACCTCAAAGGAGAAGTCACAGCAAAGAAGTTACCACCTAACAGGCATGGTTTTTCTTTCTCTTTTGCTGCTGCCCCCAGTTCCATGTGAAAGAAGTGTGGGAACACAAATGTATCTTAAGTTTGAGGTCAACATCGTTGTGGGATGTGTATGTGTTGGCCTTGCTGCTCTCCACATTTCTAAGGTGGAAAAAATCATGAAGGGAATCACTTATACTGAGTCTCATTCGTAATGCTTCCTGATCCTGCACTTGCCTCCTAGAGAAATAATCACAGTGGAAACCTCAACCGTAATGAACCGCCGTGAGTCATACATACACTCAGCCCACTCTCTGTTGCAGCTGGAGCCTCCTGACCCAGAAGGTCGGGGACTGTGGGAGCTAGACAGTGGGAGCATCCCAGCCCTGGTTCCGCTCAGCCTGCTGAATTAGCGTTGGCAGACCCTGGGACCATGGCTGAGACAAAGCAGCATGACAGTCACAGGGTCTCAAGTCCTCAGTGAGGGGTCCCTCCTAGGCCTGCCACACACTGCACAGCCCTGGGGCTGCGCTGGCTTTGCCCCAGTGAGTTTTCTGTCTCCACTTGCCAGGAGAGGCACCTTGTCCCATAGAACCGAGCCTCTCCTACAGGTGTCAGCACCACCAAGCCCTCCTCCCCACCTCACAGCCCAGCCTGGCTGAGCCTATGGCCAGAGACTTTGCTTTAAGGCAAGTCCACATCTGGGGATGGTCAGGAGTCACCTCTGAGGCCACTGAACCTTGACTCAGTGAGTCACGTGTGGCAGGCACTATCCCCGCCATCCCACGGATGGCTGTGCGACTCTGCTGCTGGGAAGGCCGATGGTCACCACCGAGATGGCCAAGGTAAATGGATTATCTCCACTGGGATGGGTGTTTGGTCTCTAAAGATATGGCCAGAGTCTAAAATATTCTAAGCAAGGCCCCAGAGGCTACAGCTTATTGAATTAGTTGGTTAATACAAAAGATTATTTTCCCATACAACAAAAGCACTTATTTAAAATACATTTTAGTTATATAATAAACTTAGTCTAAACAACAGGTTCGCAAACTACGGCTCAGAAGCCAAATGTGAGCCATTTGGGGTTCTTTTTTTTATCATCTTTATTGGAGTATAACTGCTGTACGATGGTGTGTTAGTTTCTGCTGTTTAACACAGTGAATCAGCTATATGTACACATATATCCCCATATCCCCTCCCTCTTGCGTCTCCCTCCTACCCTCCCTATCCCACCCCTCTCGGTGGTCACAAAGCACCAAGTTGATCTCCCTGCGCTATGCAGCTGCTTCCCACTAGCTATCGATTTTACGTTTGGTAGTGTATATATGTCCATGCCACTCTCTCACTTTGTCACAGCTTACCCTTCCCCTCCCCATATCCTCAAGTCCATTCTCTAGTAGGTCTGTGTCTTTATTCCCGTTACCCCTAGGTTCTTCATGACATTTTTTGTTTTTTTCTTAGATTCCATATATATGTGTTAGCATACGGTATTTGTCTTTCTCTTTCTGACTTACTTCACTCTGTATGACAGACTCTAGGTCCATCCACCTCACTACAAATAACTCAATTTCATTTCTTTTTATGGCTGAGTAATATTCCATTGTATATATGTGCTACATCTTCTTTATCCGTTCATCCGATTATGAACACTTAGGTTGCTTCCATCTCCGGGCTATTGTAAATAGAGCTGCAATGAACAGTTTGGTACATGACTCTTTTTGAATTATGGTTTTCTCAGGGTATATGCCCAGTAGTGGGATTGCTGGGTCATATGGTAGTTCTATTTATACTTTTTTAAGGAACCTCCATACTGTTCTCCATAGTGGCTGTACCAATTCACATTCCCACCAGCAGTGCAAGAGTGTTCCCTTTTCTCCACACCCTCTCCAGCATTTATTGTTTCCTGATTTTTTGATGATGGCCATTCTGACTGGTGTGAGATGATATCTCATTGTAGTTTTGATTTGCATTTCTCTAATAATTAATGATGTTGAGCATTCTTTCATGTGTTTGTTGGCAGTCTGTATATCATCATATCTCTTTCTCTGAATAAACCCAGGAAAGCCTTTTAAGAACTCTGGTAATTAGATGGAGCCCACCTGGGTAACTCCGGGTAACTAATTCCCTGTCTCAAGGTCTGTAACCTCAATCACAGCTGCAAAGACCCTTTTGCCAATATAAGGAAATATATTCACATGTTCTGGGGATTAGGATATGGATGTCTTTGGGGGCCATTATTCTGTCTCCCACAAGGAGACAATCAAGATATCATAGAGGAGTGTCAGGAAGTTAATTAATTAAAATATTAGGCTATTTTTCTGCATTTCATGATGTTTGCTACTTGTCCTTTTTAGTATTTGTTATTTATTGTGATTTCTCTTCTCATTCTTTCTCACAAATACATATTCTCTTTGGTACCTAATTATGTATTTTCAACCTTGTACTCTTTTTTTGTAAAGAAGACTCCTCCAATTGTATAAGCCTCAGACCCCACATAAGCCGACACATGGGCACCTCTACTCACCCACTGACTCAACTGGGAACTTGATGAAATCTCTCCCACTGCCAGCTGGGGAGAGAGTCTGCTGCTGGCCGGGGTGGGTGACCCGTGGGCTCACAGGCCAGCAGGGGAGCCAGGGAGTGCTAAGTGGAGCTGACTGGTGTCTCACAGTGACCCTCCTTCTGTCTGGGCCCTGGAGAGTCACTTTCCCAGTAAATGCAGCACATGGACAGGCCCTTAGGGCTGCCCAGAATGACATCTCTGCTAAATTTCAAAACCTAACAGGCAGCACCTTGGACCTCTCACTGGGCATCTTCTTTCTTGTACCTAAAGCCAACCAATTCCCATGTCAATACCTGATTTCTGGCCCGTTGGCCTGGATGTAGCCACAGCACCGTTCCGGTGGTCTCTAAATACCTGACTCCAAAGGTTACTAGTTGATGGCTTCCCATCCTCCTGTTTCCACCCCCAGGCAAAATCTTCCCAGCACCTTCCTTCTACTCCTTCCCTTTCACACGTTCCTTCTGTAGTAGAGGAGCGTGCATGTCACACATTTTTCTGATGTTTTCTAGTCTGGAGTCGAGATCAGCCACCTATCCCGTATCATTCATGCTGAGGGTGCTGCATCTCACAGCCTAATCCCCTGAGCAACAGGAAATCCCGGGTCCTGAAGCAGGGTCTCATTCAGCCTAGTTTAGGAACCTGAAATTGCTGAGTCCGCTCGCAGCACCAGGCTCCCTTTGTGAGCCTCCTGTAACCTGTCCTCCTTCTCTGCGGCTCCCAGCTCACCCCTGGGTTCCATCTAGTTCCCATCCTCGAGGATGCCTCTGCAGTCCTTTCCTTGCTCCCTTTTCACCCATGAAAGTAGCACCCTGTGCTACTCTCCTTTCTCCCCTCCCTCCCCACTCCGTTCCTCTCTTCTGCTCTCCCCCCCCACCCCCCCCAGCCCCACCCCCGGGATCCTTGTTCCCTCTACTGCAGAAACAATTCACATTTTCTTTAGAATTTGCCCCCTTATCCTCTGGTCTCGGTATGCACCACTCTCCTTCCTTTCTTTCTCCCCAAGTTGGAATCTTCTCCCTGAACAGCACGCTCTCCACCCACAGTGGTTCCCTCTGGGCCGACTTCTGAGGGACACGTGCCTCTACAGTTCCTCCTCCACTTCTCTCCCTGCCAGATCAGCCCGTGGATGGACACAGATCAGCTGGTAACATCCCCAGAAAGGCACACTCTCCTCTTCCTTTTCATGCTGAAGGCCATGTTGGCCTCTTCCAGCAGGTTCCATTTATTTATGAGGAGCCTTAGCACCAGAGAAGTTAGTGAGTAGAGAGAGTCAAAGGCCAGTGGCAGGGGCTAGGCCCTCTTGACAGTGAAAGCAGGACAGTACCTGCCACATCTCCAGCCCCAGGGAGCAAAATCCAAAGTCCTCTGACCTCCAGGTGACAGTAGGACAGCTGGGTCCTGTTTGGTCACAGTTAGTCATTCCCATGTGTACCCCCATGTATGTCATTCATGGAAGACCTCCCTTCTCCCTAATTTAATAGGAGACCTGGGACTTTAGCAAATGAAGTTACTGCATTTATTTACATCAGCCTGGTCAGGCCACTGCTGCATGCACCCAGGACTGAGCCTTCAACAATGTCAAATGATTTCTTAGGCAGCACACACTGTGGAACCATCCTGAATGTGCAGCCACCCCAAAGCTCTCCAAAGGTCCTTTGCCAAAGCTGTTTTTTTTTTAAAGGGCTTAGTAAAAGGCCCTGGCTGGTGAGAAACAAAAGAAAAAGCTCCAACATAAACAATGAGGAAAATACAAAGGCTAAGAACCACTGAATCTGCAGAAAACAGGCCGCATCAGCCCCAGAAAAACTGCAGGTCCTTTTAGTGGTATGGCCATCTGCTCACATGAGCCTCTGCTTAGAAAGTGAAGGATATGGAACACAGATGGAGCCTCCCTGGAACTGCTCAAGAGAGCCAGTGGACTGACACATGCTCCTCTGACTGTGAGAGGGAGGACCCGCAGCTCTCCAGAGGGTGCAGGGCCAGATGCCTCTGGATGTGGCTGGAGTGACAGCAAAGTTCCTTGGTCCCTTCTGCTGTAACCAGCATTGAGATGGCAAGAATTGAGGACCTTAGGGAATCACTTTCTGCCCAAGAACAGAGAGCTACCCCAAAGGACTCACATGACATGGAGGGCTCTGTGTGAAATGAACTGCCTAGGAACAAGTCTGCACAGAAATGAAGGTTTAATAAATGGTTTACCCACTCAGAAACGCATCTTGTGAAGGATGCAGCACAATGTTGAATTAAGAACACCGGTCTTGGGACTTCCCTGGTGGTGCAGTGGTTAAGAATCCACCCGCCAATGCAGGGGACATGGGTTCGAGCCCTGGTCCGGGAAGATCCCACATGCAGCGGAGCAACTAAGCCCGTGCACCACAACTATTGAGCCTGCGCTCTAGAGCCCGCAAGCCACAACTGCTGACCCTCGCGCCACAGCTACTGAAGCCCGTGCACCTAGAGCCCGTGCTCCACAAGAGAAGCCACCGCAATGAGAAGCCTGCGTACTGCAATGCAGAGTAGTCCCTGCTCGCCGCAACTAGAGAAAGCCTGCACAGCAACAAAGACCCAATGCAGCCAAATAATAAATTAATCAATTAATTTAAAAAAAAAAAACACAGGTTTTGGAGTCCGACTGACATGGGTTCAAATTCTGGCTCCACCACCTAGTAGCCAAGCCATGTCAACTAATCACTCGCCCACAGAGGGGGTGAGGATGTGTGCACTCAGGGCAGCAAGGCCCAGTCACATACAAACAGTTTATTAATTTATTCATTCATTTATTGATGGCTCTTCCTTGCTGAGAATTTACCCCATCTTTGGTATTCAAACTAAATACTGGATTTTACAATTAATTATTTTTTCAAAGGCCTCACTGAAGAAGTATTTTACTTTCATGGAATTTAAGAGGCGATCATTTCCACCCTCTGCTGGCTAGATTTCACACATTCCCAAGCAGTGAGGAACAGGTGCAAACCTCAGAGTAAATACAGCTGGAGTGAATTGAAACTGCACAGCTAACTGGTCTTATTAAATTCACATGAAAGACAGATGTGGCTGGCACATACCAGTCACCTAGTCACTGTCATTTTCCTGCCCACAGGGCATCGTTCTGTAAGAAGGGCTGATATAAGAGTGGAATAGGATCAAGACTGGGGGTGTTGGCTGGCACCCCATCGACCCCAGTCCAGATCGACATCTAACAAAGCTCCAGGCCGTCTGTTTCCATGATCTCCTGCCAAGTAACAAACCTCCCCCAAACTTACTAATTAAACCAACCACCATTTTATTTTCTGTCGTGCTCCTGTGTGTTGACGGGGCTCTGCTGGGAGTTCTGCGCACACAGCATGTGTAGACACTTAGCTGGACTGAGACACGGGTTAGGCCATAAGACGGTTAAGATCTCTAAAAGGCATCTACCCCCCTGTCTCCCTCCTGGCACAGCTGTGCGGGGACGTGTGGGTGCAGTGCGCGCTCACCCCACTATTACGGGCCTCTGAACCTCTCTGTTCCCCTAGGTCCATCAGGAGAATCTGCTCTTCCAAGGGGAAAGCCTTTGTCCAGTGAGGTAGAAAGCATCCCATAGTCTACCCGGTCCTCTGGCTGCCCCTGACCCCCCAGTCCAGAATGGGGACTGGGGAAGGCAGGGAGCTTCTATACTCCCGGGGACAGGTTTCCTCCGGCTCCCTCTTCCAAGAAGGAGAAATCCTGGAAGAGGCCGCCTCCACAGAAACCTGGGGGCGCCTGGGAGTGAGGGGGAAGAGGGCAGGGTGCGGGAAAGACCGAGGCTCGGCCTGGCGCTGAAACATCCCAGAAAGCAGCTCTGGTGCAGGCCCTGTTGGAAGCAGTGCCCACCTCCCGCATGAATGTTGCAGGACAGTCTCCTCCCCCGCTCCCCTCCTCCAGCCGGCTCCGGGGCCCAGCACCCACCGACAGACGCCTGAAGAGCGTCCACCTGTACCCCTCCTGTGGCCCCGACCCAACTCAGAGGCAAAGGCAGGGCCCACAGAGGGTGTGACTAGTGTCCGTGTCGGGAGGGGACTGGGAGCCAGTGCCCCACGCGGCCTACCTCTTGCTCTTTGTCCTCTCGCAGCACAGCCATGAAACGCAACGCCCAGCTCTGGTGCCCTGTCCAGAAGGGCACCTACGAGATCACCCGGAAGACTCGGCGGCAGTGCCAGGCCTGTCGCCTGCCGCCTGCGCAAGTTCCTAGAGAGCGGCTGCAGGAAAGACAGCACAGGCCGCGCATGCGGGCGTGGGCACGTGAGCCCGAGCAGGCTCTGGCCGCGGGATGTGTGCGGGCGCGTGCGCAGCCGTGGGATGTGTGCAGGCGCGTGCGCAGACGGGCGGGCGTCGGCCTGAGGCCAGCTGCCTCTCCTGGAGGGGTGGAGCGCGTCTGCGCTCTCTGCTCTGAGAGGCCAGGTTCTCTCTGGCCAGGGTCATGCCCGCCTCTCCCGTCTGTTGCGCTTGTGTGATTCATTTTGTTCCCTTCATAGTTGTTTAAGGCAAATTGGGGGCGGTGAATTGGGGACGGGAAGCTGGAGTCGCGTGGTGTGCTATGACCCCCACCTTCCACCAGCTGCCCAGACCCGGCGTCCTCCGAGGATCTGTGTGCCGCCAGTGACAGGGGGGTTCTCATTTCCCCTGTCCAGCTTTGGTATAACTGTGCTCCCAGGGGCTCTGAGATTAAAGCACATGGGGAAAAGGCTGGAAGCTACCAGAGTGTATTTCTCTCCATCAGTCACAGAGGGACCCGAGACCCTGGGCAGCCTTTCAGGGGCCAAGTTCCTTGGGCATTTGGGCAGAGAGCCTTTCCTGCAGACCAGCAGTCCCTGCCGTCCCCTCCCTGCCAGGATCCCCACAGCTTTGCTCTGCACACACAAGTGGGCCCCAGAAATCCAGGGAAGACCCTAAGGCTACCGGCTACATAGGAAGTGGCTGGAGTCGATATTTCTTGCTAAGCAGTAGCCCCAGCTCTCTGGAGTCTTGGAGTCCCAGAGATCTTGGGGGCCTCTGAGGAGTCTTGTTGGTATCTGATCCACCATAAAAGAATAATCGAGTGCATTTATTGAACAACTATTATGTACCAGGAGCTGTACTAGGCATTTCCTGTGCAGTGTCTGATCCTAGCAGCAGTGTGAGGTGAGCACTGTCACTGCAGATTACCAAGAAGGAAACTGAAGGCAAGAGAGGTTAGGGAGCCTGTCAAAGTCACCACTAGAAAGTGGCAAAACCGTCACTCAAGCCGGTGCCTTAAGATCCAGAAGCCTGAGCAATTCCCATCGCTCCACGAAGTTGTCTTGAACCCGTCCTTCCCCAAGTGTTTCTTCAGAGGAGCCCAGAGTCCTTGAGAGTCTGGAAAAAGGCAGGTTTCTTGTCACGAGCATGTCCCCATCTGCTGCTGCTGCCCGAGCCCCTGCAGGCACCTGAGGCTGCTTCTGGCTATCCCTGCAGTGATCATGTCTGACGTGACCGTGGAGCAGAAGCGGGCCTTGATCAGGAGGAAGAGGAGAGAACAGATTGGGACTCAGCCCCCTGGAGCCAAGGCTCTGACTGAAGAGCAGCAGATGATGATCAGGGAGTTGATAACCGCTCAGGTGAAAACCTCTGATGGCATCTTCACGCATTTCAAGAATTTCCGGGTATGAGGCTTTAGAGACGGCTTAGCTCCTGCACTAGCTCCTCAGAACCCCAACCTCATTCCCAGCGGTTCTCAAAGAGTGGCCCCTGGACTTGCAGCAGCAGCAGCATCTGGGAACTTGTAAGAAAGGCAAAATCTCAGATCATCCCCTGTCTCCTGAATCAGAAACTTTGAGGTTGGGGCCCAGCAGTCTGTGCCTTGACAAGACCCCTCAGGTGATTCTGACTCATGCTCAGGTCAGGAACTCTGCTCTCTCCTTCCGCAGCAGGTAGAAATTGAGTCTGAGCCATAAATGGACTAATGGACAGCTGAGTTGCCCCAGGGTTGCTGGCGTTCAGGGCTTTATGAGGACAGGGGCAGGACCTGCAGGGGCATGACATTTCTGAACTGGTTTTACCGAACCAATAAACTCCAGTGATCTCAGCAGTGGTAGCCGTGTCTGATCCCAGTGCCCTCTTCCACCTGTGCTCACAGGTATCTCGGTGACCCGTCCAGCTCAGAGAACTGGTAGCCAGTGGTCTCCAAAGTCTGTTTCTTTCCATATTTAGCTCCCAGATCCTTTTCTCTGAGTTTCTGGAGTGCAAGGTCAGGAATGCTTGGGACACACCCCTGACCAGGCAGGGATGTGAGGGACCATGAATTAATAGATCCACCTGATAGGAGAAGACCAAAAAGAAGGAACAAGTTCTGTGTGTGGAGGTGGGGTGTACACTCCTGCCACCGTGCAGCCACTCAGGGTGCAGCTGTGGCTGTGTATGCCTGTCTGGGGCCTGTGTCAGAACCTGTTTGGGGGAATATATGCTGTCTCTCCTCTCTTCTCTCCCCCTCCCGGCTCATGTCCCAGCTGCCAGAGGTGCTTAGCCGTGTCCACAAGATTCGGAGTCTCTGCAGACTCAGTCAAATGAAGAAGCTGCCAAGTGGTGCAAGATCAGGGAAGATCTACGTTCAGTGAAGGCCTCCCTGCAGCTGCGGGGGGAAGACGGCAGCATCTGGAACTACAAGCCCACAGCCGACAATAGTGGGAAAGAGATCTCTTCCCTGTTGTCCCACGTGACTGACACGTCAACCTATGTGTTCAAAGGCATCATCAAGTCATTCTCCTATTTCAGGTAGGACACAGGGGCCGGGTGGATGGTGTGGAAAGGAGCAGGAAATGGCCAATAGGTTCAAATGGTCTGGGGTAGATTTCTCTGAATTTGGGGGACGTTGGTGCCAAAAGACCCTCCTTTACCTCTGCCCCCAGGCCACCTGGTCCTGCTGGGGAATGGAGCCCTCGCTGTCTGTATGGCTCATTAGCTTTGTGACTGTGGCCTGCCCTTTAACCTGTGTCTCAGCCTCTTCATCTGCTAGACAGGGGCTAATAATGCCTACCTTGCAGGGCCGTTGTGTGGAATAAGAGAATATCTGGAAGAGCATTCATCACATACACGGTGGACGTTCAGAAAGTAATCCCCCTCCCCGTTTCCCCGCAAAGGGGCAGGAATCACAAGTTGACAGTTCCAGAGCAAAGGAAGAGTTGGAAGGAAAAGGAAGGAAGTCCAGAGGGAGAAGAAGGAAAGGGCCAGGAACAGACGCGGGGTCACTGGCAGTCTGCTGCCCAGAGAAGGCTGAGAAGGAGGACAAGGGGCCGGGATGCCCCAGAGCTAGGCGTGAAGGCAGCAACCACTGGGCAACCGGGGTGAATGAGAGACCCTGGACCCTTCTGGTGTGGTGGTAACCACAGCCACACAATATGGAGCCTGTCAGGGCTGGAGATGGCACTGGGCGTGTCTCCCCTGGGGTCAGCCACTGGCCTTGCCAGGCCTGGGCAGGTGGAGCTGAATCACACATGAGGAGCCCTGATTTCATCCGCAGGCAGAGGGCAGGTTCTCTTCCAGGAGCCCACAGGTTGCCCTGTGGGTGACACGTAGGACTTATTTACTGGGGTGACGGTGGCCACAGGCTGGAGTGGAGTTCAGATTGCGGCAGAGTAGGTCAAGGGAGCAGGGAGAAAGGCCCCCTTCCACGCATAGACCTGGCAGATCCCCACCAACATCTCATGACCCAGACCCTACCACCAGGGTGGGAGGCCACTCATTTCTCATGACAACCAGTTTGGGGTACAGCCACCCCAGGAGGCAGGAGTTGCTCTCACCTTCATTCCACAGATAGAAAACCAAGGTTAAGGCGAGTGCGCGGGATCGCAGCTAATCAGAGGGGCCAGCTTTGGAAGCAGAGTACAGCCTCCAGAGCCGGTCCCCTGCCCGGTCCTGGGCTGGGAGCTGGGCGGGGCGGTGGGGGTGAGGGCAGCGGCGGGGACACACGGAAGGAAAGATCAAGTTCACGGCATTCGTGGCTCAACGCCGTGGATCTAAAAGAAGGGACTGAACTCCTGAGGAGACCAAAGCCAGGCAAAGGTCCTCCTGAAGAGCTCCCTCCTGGGTTTTCAGTTGGAAGGCCTCCATCAGTGGGGAGATGGGGGCCCCTCTCAGGTTGGGAGGGGTGTCAGTCTAACCGTGAATACTAGAGGCATCCACTGTGGCTGGGCCTGTGCTCAGTGCTACGGGTGGAGCTCAGGGCATCCAGGCTGCCTGGAGAGAAACAGAAGAAACAGCAAATCCCAAACAGACGGCAGGAAGCAAATAGCCCCGCTGCATGGAACTCATGCTGGAGGACTGGCACTTGCAAAAGGACTGCAGTCTGGAAAGACCTCTAGGAGGCACAAGGACAGCTTGGCCCAAAGGACTAGCAGAGTCTACTTAAGTGAAGCTATAGGGGTACTCATTCCAAGTGGGGAAACCGAGGCAGAAAGCAGGAGGCCAGGGACCAGGAGCCAAGGCATCGGCTGGGGGGTCAGTGGCTGTGCAGGGAGCTGGTGGTGATGGGGCTAGGCTGTAAGGGCCTGGACACCAAGCTACATCAGCAGTGGACAGTCCCTGAAGGTAGCAGGAGACCAGAGGAAGACGGCAGGGAGGAGGAATCTGCTTGCTGGCTTGGGACAGGGAGAGATTGGAGGCAGTTTGAAGGCACCTGCAATAATCCGCAGGGGGAGGAGCCCATCCTCCCTCGCCTCTTCACCACCCTCCCGCCCTGATTCTGGATTATGGGAGGGGGTGCTGGCCTGTGGCAGTTTCCTAGGAAGTGGCATCTCTTCCTTATCCTTTGCTGCCAGGGACCTGCTCATTGAGGACCAGATCTCCCTGCTGAAGGCGGACGCCTTTGAGCTGTGCCAGCTGAGATTCAACACGATGTTCAATGCAGAGACCAGGACCTGGGAGTGTGGTCAGCTGTCCTACTGCTTGGAAACCCTGCAGGTGCCCGAGAGATGCCTGTCTGCCCCGGCAGAGGATGGGAAACAGCCGTGGAGGGAGGAGAGGAGCCACGCCAGGTTACACGGGTCCTGGGATTGCAGGGCATAAGATTGGGCAATGGGAAAAAAGACCTTGGTGAGGGAAGTCTGGGTCTTGGGTCAGCTTCCTGAGAAGTTTACCCCTCCAGCCTGCACCCACCCTACAGGTGGCTTCCAGCAGCTTCTGCTGGAGCCCGTATTGAAATTCCACTACATGCGGAAGAAGCTGCAGCTGCATAAGGAGGAGTATGTGCTGATGCAGGCCATCTCCCTCTTCTCTCCAGGTGATGACCCACCTGTCGTCCTACCTGGCTTCCCCGTGCCCCTCCCCCACCTCTCCAGGCTTGCTCACACCCCGTCAGCTTCAGCTGAGGGAGGCAGCAGCCCCTCCTTTGCCTTCCCTAGGGAAGGTCCCAACTGATGGCCTCGCCCTCCACTCACTGCTCAGCCAGGATGGGGACTCTGGCTGTTTTCTCCTAGGGTCAGAGGGGTGATGCAAAGCCCTCTTAGCGCCCCCCTCACTTCCTTGCCTGGGAATTCCTGGCTCTGGAAGGTGGTTGGCAGTTTGTCCCCTCTGGGATGGACCAAGCTTGTCTCGGCCCCCATGGCCTTGCGGGGACCGTACCACCTTCTCCTCCCCACCAGACTGCCCGGGTGTGGGGCAGTGCTGCTTGCTGGACCAGCTGCAGGAGTGGTTCGCCATTACCCTGAAGGCCTACATCAAGTGCAATCGGCCCCGGCCCGCCCACCGGCGAGCAGCAAGCAGAGAGGGTGTGAGGGGGTGTGAGCCCTGCCCCCAGGCCCCCGACTGTTCTGGGTCTCTCTGGGGGCGCAGACCACAGCTGCTCCTGGGGCAGCCTCTAATTACCAGGGCTTTGGGACCCTGCTTTGTGACCTCCACTGAGGCCTCCTGCCCAGTCGACCTAGAACAACTACTGTTTATCGAGAAGAGCCAGCCCTGGTGCCAAGCAGTTTTACATGCACATCACCTTTCATCTTGAAAACAGCCCCATGCAGTGGGCGCCATCATATCCTGTAAGGGACTGGGGGCTCCGGGCGACTGACCCAGGTCCCGCCCCAGGCAGGTGGGTTCTGGAGATAGATCCTTGCGGGCCAAGCCTAGAGCCCACACCCTTGAACACTAACTACCTAACCACCTCCCAGGACAAACAACAGATAATGGGGTAGGAGACTCCTTAGTTAGTCCTGGTCACAACCCGAAGGAGGAAGGCTGCTCAGGGCTTGACCAGATAGAGGCCACCCCCCCTTCACTGGGCCTCAGCAGCCCTGTGACCTGGTACCATGGTCCCGGGCTGAAAGGGGGAAGGCCAGCACTGGGTGTGCTAGTGCGAACATAGAACCTAAAGTCCTTACTTGGCCTCCGCTGCAGCTGGCTTTTGAGCTTGGCCTCCTGGGATGCTGGGGGTGGCCGTGTCTTGCTTTGCTCAGTCCTCCCCTGTACGGAGCCAGGAGGCATCATGGGGAAACTGAGGCACGAGGTGTGTCTCAGACACCAGATCCCAGGCTAGATCTGGGGAGGGACTGCTGCCTGCGGCCCGTGCCTCCACAACTACTCCACCCCATCCTGACCCCCGTCCATTAGCCACGGCAGTGATGTCCCCCCGGAATGACCTATTCACGTGGTGCCTGCAATGCCTGGTTTTCCCACAGATGTCCCTGTGTACAGGGACTCAAGCCCAGAGGAGGAGGTACGAGTGGGAATGGTGGGTGCACACCTGCAGGGCCCAGGCTGTTCTGCCCCCTCATCTGCAGGCTGAAAGGGAAGCTTAAGGAATTCAGCCAAGCCTTGTCTCTTGGCTGACCTGTGAGATGAGATGAAAACCTGAGCTGAAAACCCTCAAATGTGTTCAATTTCAGAGGGGCCCCAGTGTTGGTGGGTGGGGGCAGGGCGGGCCACACCCCCAACCCTTCCCCTGACTGGCCCGCAGGTTCCTGTTCCTGAAGATCATGGCTATGCTCACCGAGCTCCGCAGCATCAACGTCCTGCACACCCAGCGGCTGCTGCGCACCCCGGACATTCACCCCTTCGCTACCCCACTCATGCAGAAGTTGTTCAGCATCACAAATGGCTGAGCGGCCGCCGCACGGCAGTCAGAGCCAGAGCCCTGGGAGCCAGAGCCACCACTCCTGGGGCCACACAGACAGACACTGACAATGCCGGGCAGGTCCTGCCTCTCCAGGGAACTCACAAAGACAGCCGTGAGGGTGGCAGGCTAGCCTTCCTCAGCCCCCAGCTCAGCCTGGGGAGAGCCAAGCCCTAGAGCCTTACATGAAGAGTATGCTGGCCCCTTGGTCAGGCCTATCGAGAGGCAAGGGCACCCTCCCCTTAGAAAAGGCCCTGGGTCTGGAGATCTAGTATCATGGTGGGAGAGGGGAGAGGGGATACGGTGCCTGGGGCTAGGGCATCTGAGGGTCTATGCCCACACCCAAGTTCATTAGCTTCTTGGGTATTTTCACGGCTACATCTGCTACCCCTGTCTCCCACTCGCCAGCCGTTCCCAACCCACAGCCTCCTGTCCTGAGTTGCTCCGTGGGTTTCAGGCCTGTGTCCACCAGCAGGTGCATTAGCGTCTGAGGGAGTCTTTTAGAGAGAGGCCAGAAGGCCTGCACCAAATGTCACAAGCTTGTCGTTACTGTCTCTGTGTTTATTCTTCCCTCCTTCTGGGCACCTCATTCTGTGTCTCTGCATCCATTAAAACACATCATTAAGCACCAACAATGTGCAACCTGCTGTGGGGAATACATGCTGACTGACATGGATCCTGACCTCGAAGGGGTTATACATGTGTGTGACTTGGTGCAGGTTTGCTTCACAACCGACCTGGGGCTGGGTGGCTCCTGAGGCTGGAACGCCGAAGGCTCTGTGACGAGGCTGTACTGACGGCACTTAATAAATGTGTTCCTGTTTACACACCTGTTTGCAGAGCTGAAGAGTATGAAAGTGTCTGCTTTGTTTGTAACCTCTTTGAGTAGAAATGTTGCTGCATTTTTCGAAAATTACATTTCAACTAACTTTACATAGGGCATCACACACCTAAGAACCAGGCTTAGCAAATATGATCCTGTGGTTAACGTCAAATCAAGGCAAGAGGACTTCAATAATTAACTTATGGCTAGATTTAAGCCTTTTTTGGCCTTCCTTTCTGGGGGAAAAAAAGAAATGTGGGGGTGGTGAAATAGAGATATTATATATTTGTATATATTTCTAAATTTTTATTTTACTATTGCCCTTTACATATCTGAAGACTGTTGGTGTGAGAACATAAAAATGCATTATTTGAGCTTCCCTGGTGGCGCAGTGGTTAAAAATCTGCCTGCCAATGCAGGGGACACGGGTTCGAGCCCTGGTCTGGGAAGATCCCACATGCCGTGGAATGACTAAGCCTGTGTGCCACAATTACTGAGCCTGTGTGCTGCAACTACTGAAGCCTGTGTGCCTAGAGCCCGTGCTCCGCAACAAGAGAAGCCTCCGCAATGAGAAGCCCGCGCACCACAGCAAAGAGTAGCCCCCGCTTGCCGCAACTAGAGAAAGCCCGTGCACAGCAACGAAGACCCAACGGAGCCAAAAATAAATAAATAAATTTTGAAAAAATGCATTATTTAACTTGGTTTGCTCATAATTATTCTATATAAAAATTTAAAATGAATGATTTAAAATGTAGTAATTAATTTTAAATGGTTAATATTTTGATGCAAATGAAGCTACAAGTTAACTGAATTTTAAGAAACAGATACTGGCTTAGCTTTTACCATTTTACAGGAAGGCCAAACTTGGAGAACATAAATCATTGAGACTATAAATCAAAGCAAACAAACATATTCTCTGCCATCCCTCCAGCCTCTTCTGCATCAAGGGGACATAGAACGCACTCATTTTTAGAAAAGAAATGGAGGGGAAAGGAGCTCCTCTTTCCAAACACAATGAATGCAGATTTTGCCCCCAGCAATTGTGTCTAATTATACTCATTTGGAAATATAAATGTCATTTAACTGTATTCATATATACATCTCTTCTTTCCCACTGAAATAATTTTGAGTGTGCTATTCACTTAAGAGCCTGAAATGGTTGTTAAACGTAGACTACGATAAGGTGAGAGCAAGGTGAGATTAAGGTGGGATGTAGAGTAAACTCGCATCTCCCAGTATTGATTTTAAAAACACCTGGGCAGTTTCACAAACATTGAATTGATATGTACATATGAATTACATATATTATAAAAACTAAGTGCAGTCCAAGCGCAGTTAAGATACAATGTTAGATGCACCAGAGAGCTCACACTGGATACTTCCTTTCAGCAGCTTTGTGCATCTCGTTTTTAGGGCTAGGAGCCAGATTCAACTTTCCTACTCTCAAACATTTGAATTTCCCTATACTCCCTTCTCTGAGCCCTTGAGCAGTTGAACCAAATGTCAGTTTCTAGGCATCCCTGTGGCCCCCATTCTTTTCCTAGGTCTTGCTTCAGTCAGGTGAGGATGGAGTCAGTCTCCAAAGCTCAGGAGAAAAGCCCCTACTGCTTACCTTCTGGCTGCCCTGTTAGAGCCCTCCGCCACCAGTCTCTACCTGGCCCGGACTTTAAGGATCGTTAAAGCCTTGACATCAACAACTCTTGTGGGAAGGCCCAGGGTGTCCTCTCCTTTCTGGAGAAAAGAGGATGTAAAGAGAAACATACATTGAATGGACCATCCCTTCCCAGCTTCTGACAACTTGTGGGCCTCATCATGCCATCTTCTACAACTGTTTTAGTTTTCCCCTTAACTGCAGCTCTCCTAGACCTGAAGGTGCTAGTGGGTGGGCGAAGTATTTTTGCACCTGAGAGAGGGGTGACAGCCCCATCACTTTTGTTCCCTTCCTTTCACAGACTTCTCCATGAAGGGGAGCTGCAACCTGAGCGCTCCCTTTCCTAACTACACTTCTAGAGCACCTTCTCAACTGGCATCCAGCCTCACTGCTCTCCTGAGACATGATCCCGAAGGGCTGGTTCGTCACAACATTTTGGAAGACCTTAGAAATGAATGACGCAGTCCTTCAGGAGTTTTTAAGTTAAAAAGGTATCTTGTTCAATCCCAATTCAAATATGGCAGGAAATAACATAGTAGTATATCCCAAACAAACGCACTTCAATGCCATCAGGAGACCCATCCCACAAGTGACATCTTGCATATTTGTGCTGATCCCCACCCTTCCCCCCAAATCCCCGCAACTGGTAAACATGTTAAACTAGTTTACAAATATTAGCTAAGCACACCACCACAATAAGAAGTAAATAAAGAGGACCAGACTTTATCCAATATAAATTTGTTTTTATTGAAGCAGCAGTCACATGACTTTATATCTAGCCTTTAGATTAGGCCTGACAGAGTGAGCCAGCCCTAAAAAAAAATGATGTTTCTTTTTGCACTAAGAGACATAACATGTTTACATACATCATCCAGTATTGGAAATGAGCAGACTCAAACACAACGTGTTGGTTACCTGGGAGGTACAGCCCCACTGTTTGTGGTGTTCATATAATTCACAGATACTCCCAAAGACCATTACTAATGGGATGAAAGTTAAAAGAAAATACAGCTACACCAAACCATGAACACAGTAATCAGACAGCAGCTTATACACATTTTAAAAATTCGTCCCTTTCAGGGATGTATTCTTTCTTTTCAAAGCAGTGTCTGCAAAGCTTCCTCTACATCAAAGCCAAAGGTTTCCAAGATGGAAGCTGCACCTGTTGGGGCTATACAATGGAATAAGATCATTTGAAAGAAGAACTGGTGTTCACATCTTGATTTTTATAACAAAGATTCATGTTTCTCTAATTGGAGGAACGAAGTGGTGATGTGACTACATATTGCAGTGGCAGAATAGGTAGGGTGAAGAAAAGAAGGTTGGGTACTGAAATAAAGACCACACACTTGTGAATTTTAATTTCATTTCCAGGCTAACCTACTTTTTATTTAATGCAAATTACAGTACCAGTTAACTATTTCCAAACCAAGTCACATAGAACGAAATGTATTTACAAGGGAATGGGGAAAGGGAAAAAAAACATTGAGCATACTTTTCACAAAAAAGTTTATATTTAAAATGAAAAAAAAAATCAGTCACAGAGGCATTCAAGTAGTAATAATGTTATACAGATTTTGCTTTTCCTTTATATCAAGACAGATTTGCACAAGTGTTTGCAATAGTTTGTATACAACCCACAGTCCTTTATATATATATATATATATAATAAATTTTGTTTTTTAGATTTGATTTTAAGATGGAAGTGGTCACGCTAATTGGTATGTGTACAGGCCCAAGTGATCCATCGGCAACACATTTATGAATGCAAATTTTACAGGCAAGCACATTTTCATACATCTATCTGTATCTGCCTGTAGACAGATATAGTAAGAAAAAAAACTTAAAAATTAACACAAGGAAGTCTACTTTGTCAAGCTAACCCCTTATGTACTGGTTGTCATTTTGCTTTTATTGCAGAGGTGCAAAACGGAGCAACAAACTTGAATAAAATGTCATAACCCTTGTGAAAATAATCCAAACCCCAGGGATTACTTTCAAAGCCTCTCAAACATAGACCTTAGTCTGGGACTCTACTCTGCTTCTAGTTGTTTCTCTTATTTTCAGTGGCTCAGGTTTCTATTAGAAAAGACAGATTTTATTGTAAAGCATGCTTAGTTTATTTTTCTGTATAGGGGAGAAAGTGTTCGACTCTGTGATTAGATGATCACTAACATGAACAAGAAGAATCAGATACAATTTTGGTTTAAAACAAAGAAAAATCCCCAAACTTCTGGGAATCTGGCACTGGCCAAACTTCCTTTGGAAGATTCCAAAGTTAAATCCCTTAAAAAGGAAAGGGAAAAAGAAATGAAATGCCAGTGTCTTTATATCCACAGGGATAGAGAATACAATAGTCCTCTCAGAAACCTTTGCATTGGTGCAGACAAGATGACTGGTTAGGCAGGCTTTGTTAAAACACAAATCAAAAATACGTGTCTAAAAATTAAGAGGACTTAAAAAAAAAAGGACACAGCACGTTGCTGGAAAGAAGGTGCAGTCTTCTGCCTTGCTG